TGGCTGTGTTGGCCTCTTCTTCAGCAGATGATGGCTGTGTTGGTCTCTTCTGCAGCAGCAGATGATGGCTGTGTTGGTCTCTTCTGCAGCAGAGTTTGATGGCTGTGTTGGTCTCTTCTGCAGCGCAGATGATGGCTGTGTTGGTCTCTTCTGCAGCAGCAGATGATGGCTGTGTTGGTCTCTTCTGCAGCAGCAGATGATGGCTGTGTTGGTCTCTTCCGCAGCAGCAGATGATGGCTGTTGGCCTCTTCTTCAGCAGATGATGGCTGTGTTGGTCTCTTCTGCAGCAGCAGATGATGGCTGTGTTGGTCTCTTCTGCAGCAGCAGATGATGGCTGTGTTGGTCTCTTCTGCAGCAGCAGATGATGGCTGTGTTGGTCTCTTCTGCAGCAGCAGATGATGGCTGTGTTGGTCTTTTCCCGCAGCAGCAGATGATGGTTGTGTTGGCCTCTTCTGCAGCAGCAGATGATGGCTGTGTTGGTCTCTTCTGCAGCAGCAGATGATGGCTGTGTTGGTCTCTTCTGCAGCAGCAGATGATGGCTGTGTTGGTCTCTTCTGCAGCAGCAGATGATGGCTGTGTTGGTCTCTTCCGCAGCAGCAGATGATGGCTGTGTTGGTCTCTTCTGCAGCAGCGATGATGGCTGTGTTGGTGTCTTCTGCAGCAGCAGATAAATGGCTGTGTTGGTCTCTTTCTGCAGCAGCAGATGATGGCTGTGTTGGTCTCTTCTGCAGCAGCAGATGATGGCTGTGTTGGTCTCTTCTGCAGCAGCAGATGATGGCTGTGTTGGTCTCTTCCGCAGCAGCAGATGATGGTTGTGTTGGCCTCTTCTGCAGCAGCAGATGATGGCTGTGTTGGTCTCTTCTGCAGCAGCAGATGATGGCTGTGTTGGTCTCTTCCGCAGCAGCAGATGATGGTTGTGTTGGCCTCTTCTGCAGCAGCAGATGATGGCTGTGTTGGCCTCTTCTGCAGCAGCAGATGATGGCTGTGTTGGCCTCTTCTGCAGCAGCAGATGATGGCTGTGTTGGCCTCTTCTGCAGCAGCAGATGATGGCTGTGTTGGTCTCTTCTGCAGCAGCAGATGGCGAGGCTGTAGATTGCCTTTCACGGTTTTTTTGTCTCTAACTAGTTTCCCTGTGTTGAACCCGGTGTCCATGTCATGTATGAGAACGTGTTTTAAACAACAGTTATCCTGTGTTTTTATCAATACATGTGGAGAGTTTTCATTTATGTTTCTGTATTCCAGCTACTTTGTAATCAGTACAAAAGAAGGGAACTAACAGTTCCCTTGCTCACATGTGAAAGCACAAGATAACACAACACAAACACAGAGACGGTTAACCGACGTCCTCCTCCTTGTTCACCTAACTGAACGTCTCTAGTGTAGCAGTTATCACTTTATTAGACAGTTTTTCAGTATATTCCAACTGACTGGCTTGTCTTATGTTCCAGTTGACTGACTGGCTTGTCTTATATTCCAGTTGACTGACTGGCTTGTCTTATGTTCCAGTTGACTGACTGGCTTGTCTTATATTCCAGTTGACTGACTGGCTTGTCTTATGTTCCAGTTGACTGACTGGCTTGTCTTATGTTCTAGTTGACTGACTGGCTTGTCTTATATTCCAGTTGACTGACTGGCTTGTCTTATGTTCCAGTTGACTGACTGACTCGTCTTATGTTCCAGTTGACTGACTGGCTTGTCTTATATTCCAGGGTTTACTGACTGGCTGTCTTATGTTCCGTTGACTGACTGGCTTGTTCTTATGTTCCAGTTGACTGACTGGCTTGTCTTATGTTCCAGTTGACTGACTGGCTTGTCTTATGTTCCAGTTGACTGACTGGCTTGTCTTATGTTCTAGTTGACTGACTGGCTTGTCTTATGTTCAGTTGAATGACTGGCTTGTCTTATATTCCAGTTGACTGACTGGCCCTTGTCTTATGTTCCCGTTAGCTGATGGCTTGTCTTATGTTCTAGTTGACTGACTGGCTTGTCTTATATTCCAGTTGACTGACTGGCTTGTCTTATGTTCCAGTTGACTGACTGACTCGTCTTATGTTCCAGTTGACTGACTGGCTTGTCTTATATTCCAGTTGACTGACTGGCTTGTCTTATGTTCCAGTTGACTGACTGGCTTGTCTTATGTTCCAGTTGACTGACTAGCTTGTCTTATGTTCCAGTTGACTGACTGGCTTGTCTTATGTTCCAGTTGACTGACTGGCTTGTCTTATGTTCTAGTTGACTGACTGGCTTGTCTTATATTCCAGTTGACTGACTGGCTTGTCTTATGTTCCAGTTGACTGACTGGCTTGTCTTATGTTCCAGTTGACTGACTGGCTTGTCTTATGTTCCAGTTGACTGACTGGCTTGTCTTATGTTCTAGTTGACTGACTGGCTTGTCTTATGTTCCAGTTGACTGACTGGCTTGTCTTATGTTCTAGTTGACTGACTGGCTTGTCTTATGTTCCAGTTGACTGACTGGCTTGTCTTATATTCTAGTTGACTGACTGGCTTGTCTTATGTTCCAGTTGACTGACTGGCTTGTCTTATGTTCCAGTTGACTGACTGGCTTGTCTTATGTTCCAGTTGACTGACTGGCTTGTTTATGTTTCTAGTTGACTGACTGGCTTGTCTTATGTTCCAGTTGACTGACTGGCTTGTCTTATGTTCTAGTTGACTGACTGGCTTGTCTTATGTTCCAGTTGACTGACTGGCTTGTCTTATGTTCCAGTTGACTGACTGGCTTGTCTTATGTTCCAGATGACTGACTGACTCGTCTTATGTTCCAGTTGACTGACTGGCTTGTCTTATGTTCCAGTTGACTGACTGGCTTGTCTTATGTTCCAGTTGACTGACTGGCTTGTCCTTGTGTTCCAGTTGACTGACTGGCTTGTCTTATGTTCCACTTGACTGACTGACTTGTCTTATGCTCCAGTTGACTGACTGGCTTGTCTTATGTTCCAGTTGACTGACTGGCTTGTCTTATGTTCCAGTTGACTGACTGGCTTGTCTTGTGTTCCAGTTGACTGACTGGCTTGTCTTATGTTCCACTTGACTGACTGACTTGTCTTATGCTCCAGTTGACTGACTGGCTTGTCTTATGTTCCAGTTGACTGACTGGCTTATGTCCGGCTGACTGACTGGCTTGTCTTATGTCCGGCTGACTGACTGGCTTGTCTTATGTCCGGCTGACTGACTGGCTTGTCTTATGTCCGGCTGACTGACTGGCTTGTCTTATGTCCGGCTGACTGTCTGGCTTGTCTTATGTCCGGCTGACTGACTGGCTTGTCTTATGTCCGGCTGACTGACTGGCTTGTCTTATGTCCCGGGTGACTGACTGGCTTGTCTTATGTCCGGCTGACTGACTGGCTTGTTTATGTCGGCTGACTGACTGGCTTGTCTTATGTCCGGCTGACTGACTGGCTTGTCTTATGTCCGGCTGACTGACTGGCTTGTCTTATGTCCGGCTGACTTGTTTTACAACACATAACGAGAGGAAAACAAAGGAGGTCAAATATTTTCACTCGGTCAGCCAAGATCTGAATCTCACTGACTTTTGTTCAGTTTTCTTTCCATTTCGTCCAGTGGCTTGTGTATGGGAACAGTGAATGATAGCAATTCCAAAGTGAGTGTTTGATGTATTTCTGAAAGTTATCTGTATATCATTGTAGCGTATTAAGTTTATTTAAAATAAAGAGTAGAGATATGTTGAAGCCGTTTGAAATTTGATTAAAAAGGATGTACTAGAGGGAGGTACATACTTACCGTGACCGCCTAGAGGGAGGTACATACTTACCGTGACCGCCTAGAGGGAGGTACATACTTACCGTGACCGCCTAGAGGGAGGTACATACTTACGTGACGCTAGAGGAGGTACATACTTACCGTGACCGCCTAGAGGAGGTACATACTTACCGTGACCGCCTAGAGGGAGGTACATACTTACGTGAGCCGATAGGGAGGTACATTTCCGTGACCGCCTAGGGAGTACAACTACCGTGACCGCCTAGAGGGAGGTACATACTTACCGTGACCGCCTAGAGGGAGGTACATACTTACCGTGACCGCCTAGAGGGAGGTACATACTTACCGTGACCGCCTAGAGGGAGGTACATACTTACCGTGACCGCCTAGAGGGAGGTACATACTTACCGTGACCGCCTAGAGGGAGGTACATACTTACCGTGACCGCCTAGAGGGAGGTACATACTTACCGTGACCGCCTAGAGGGAGGTACATACTTACCGTGACCGCCTAGAGGGAGGTACAATACTTACCGTGACCGCCTAGAGGGAGGTACATACTTACCGGGGACCGCCTAGAGGAGGTACATACTTACCGTGACCGCCTAGAGGGAGGTACATACTTACCGTGACCGCCTAGAGGGAGGTACATACTTACCGTGACCGCCTAGAGGGAGGTACATACTTACCGTGACCGCCTAGAGGGAGGTACATGCTTACCGTGACCGCCTAGGGCCCTAGAGGGAGGTACATACTTACCGTGACCGCCTAGAGGGAGGTACATACTTACCGTGACCGCCTAGAGGGAGGTACATACTTACCGTGACCGCCTAGAGGGAGTACATACTTACCGTGACCGCCTAGAGGGAGGTACATACTTACCGTGACCGCCTAGAGGGAGGTACATGCTTACCGTGACCGCCTAGGGCCCTAGAGGGAGGTACATACTTACCGTGACCCGCCTAGAGGAGGTACATACTTACCGTGACCGTCTAGAGGGAGTGTACATACTTACCGTGACCGCCTAGAGGGAGGTACATACTTACCGTGACCGCCTAGAGGGAGGTACATACTTACCGTGACCGCCTAGAGGGAGGTACATACTTACCGTGACCGCCTAGAGGGAGGTACTGACAGTGACCTAGAGGGAGGTACTGACAGTGACCTAGAGAGAGGTACTGACAGTGACCTAGAGGGAGGTACTGACAGTGACCTAGAGACAGACAGTAAGAATGGCCTCTAGAGAGGAAGGTAGACACTTACCGTGACATAAAGAGCGGTACCTCGAGCCTGCTCAGGCTGGGCAGAGTGAGGCAGCTGGTGCAGAAGGTCACGGTAGCTGGACACAGTCAGGTGGGTCGGACAGCCTGCAACTCGCCCTCTGCAACATCAGCACACGGTCAACATAGCGTAACCTAATAAAACACTCTGCAACACCAGCACGTAGTCAACAAATTGTATTTCAATACAAACACTTTGCAACACCAACACAGAGTCAACAGAGCGCGCCTTAACACACTCGCGGAAGTTGTAACATAGACGTCTTGAGAATAATACATATTTTTTGTTAAGTTTAAAACAACTTGAGCAGGATTATGAAAGACAGACTTTCTCCTGCGCTTCGTAATCTGCATATTTCGTCGTTAAAATACCGTCTTCAGGATGGAGGAAGGTGACTTGATGTGTTGTTTCTAAGAGAACACTTTGGTGTGTTGCTTGTAAGATATCTAGATGGGGATATGCTAAATATCACCTAGGTGAGGGTATCCTAGATAATCTCATCTAGGTGAGGATACCCTAGGTGATCTCACTTAGGTGAGGATACCCTAGGTGATCACACCTAGGTGAGGATACCCTAGGTGATCACACCTAGGTGAGGATACCCTAGGTGATCACACCTAGGTGAGGATACCCTAGTGATCACACCTAGGTGAGGATACCCTAGGTGATCACACCTAGGTGAGGATACCCTAGGTGATCACACCTAGGTGAGGATACCCTAGGTGATCACACCTAGGTGAGGATACCCTAGGTGATCACACCTAGGTGAAGATACCCTAGGCGATCACACCTAGGTGAGGATACCCTAGGTGATCACACCTAGGTGAGGATACCCTAGGCGATCACACCTAGGTGAGGATACCCTAGGCGATCACACCTAGGTGAGGATACCCTAGGCGATCACACCTAGGTGAGGATACCCTAGGCGATCACACCTAGGTGAGGATACCCTAGGTGATCACACCTAGGTGAGGATTACCCTAGGTGATCACACCTAGGTGAGGATACCCTAGGTGATCACACCTAGGTGGGATACCCTAGGTGATCACACCTAGGTGAGGATACCCTAGGTGATCACACCTAGGTGAGGATACCCTAGGTGATCACACCTAGGTGAGGATACCCTAGGTGATCACACCTAGGTGAGGATACCCTAGGTGATCACACCTAGGTGAGGATACCCTAGGCGATCACACCTAGGTGAGGATACCCTAGGCGATCACACCTAGGTGAGTGATACCCTAGGCGATCACACCTAGGTGAGGATACCCTAGGCGATCACACCTAGGTGAGGATACCCTAGGTGATCACACCTAGGTGAGGATACCCTAGGTGATCACACCTAGGTGAGGATACCCTAGGTGATCACACCTAGGTGAGGATACCCTAGGTGATCACACCTAGGTGAGGATACCCTAGGTGATCACACCTAGGTGAGGATACCCTAGGTGATCACACCTAGGTGAGGATAGTTACACAAAACAGTTAGTTTTACCTCATCATTGCAGGTGGGAAAGACTTGCAACTTCTCAAGATATTTACTGATATACGATCAACGTTTCGGTGACAGATCAATCCCGTCTTCAGGATTCATTTTTGGAATGTGATTTTAACAACACACAATATGCAAAGCTTAACTGAACTAACCGATGTGCGAGGTGTTCAGATGTCCGGTACTGAACACGGTGGTTACTGTCTGAGGAAGGTTACAGTAACGTACCAAACACTTCAGTTAGTCTTTCATTACTAAGGTATGAAAACAACAGTGTAGTGGAACACACGTAAACACAACCTTCAGTTTACAACTTTCATCATGGTTTACTGCTGTTTGGTTCTATTTATATTGACGTGTTATGAATTATTACTTTTTATTGTAACTCTCCTCAGAGAGTAACTACCTTATTCTACATAGGCACTTTATTTGCTAGTTTAATTAAGAATTTGTATATTGTAAACCATATTGTTAAATCATGTTCCAGAAATGAATCCTGTTAATAGTGATTAACTTGCTAGTGAAATGTTGATTGTATGTACATGTACTTTGTGTGTGTGTGTATATATATATATATATATATATATATATATATATATATATATATATATATATATATATATATATATATATATATATATATATATATGTATGTATATATATATATATATTTTTTTTTTTTTTTTATTATCACACCGGGCCGATTCCCACCAAGGCAGGGTGGCCCGAAAAAGAAAAACTTTCACCATCATTCACTCCATCACTGTCTTGCCAGAAGGGTGCTTTACACTACAGTTTTTAAACTGCAACATTAACACCCCTCCTTCAGAGTGCAGGCACTGTACTTCCCATCTCCAGGACTCAAGTCCGGCCTGCCGGTTTCCCTGAATCCCTTCATAAATGTTACTTTGCTCACACTCCAACAGCACGTCAAGTATTAAAAACCATTTGTCTCCATTCACTCCTATCAAACACGCTCACGCATGCTTGCTGGAAGTCCAAGCCCCTCGCACACAAAACCTCCTTTACCCCCTCCCTCCAACCCTTCCTAGGCCGACCCCTACCCCGCCTTCCTTCCACTACAGACTGATACACTCTTGAAGTCATTCTGTTTCGCTCCATTCTCTCTACATGTCCGAACCACCTCAACAACCCTTCCTCAGCCCTCTGGACAACAGTTTTGGTAATCAGTTTGGTAATCATCATGTATTGAGTGTCGGTTGTCTGTAAAGGAACATTGCAAGAAAATGCCTTTGATCATATCTTACAGAAAACAGCTATTCCTCCATTTCCAATCTATAATTTGCTGCATGACACATGACCTTTCAACAAGTTCAAGGTCAGATACGAGAAAAACTTATCTTTAAAACGATCATGATATATATATATATATATAAATATATATATATATATAATATATAATATATATATATATATAATATATATATCTTTCAACAAACCGGTCGTATCCAACCGAATATATATATATATATATATATATATATATATATATATATATATATAATATATATATATATATATATATATATATATATATATATATATATATATATATATATATATATATATATATATATATATATAATCATGATCGTTTTAAAGTAAGTTTTTCTCGTATCTGACCTTGAACTTGTTGAAAGGTCATGTGTCATGCAGCAAATTATAGATTGGAAATGGAGGAATAGCTGTTTTCTGTATGATATGATCAAAGGCATTTTCTTGCAATGTTCCTTTACAGACAACCGACACTCAATACATGATGATTTCTGTCATTGGCCAACACAATACATTAAATAAAAAAGTGGTCCTTTTTGCCGTTGGCCGATCCTATGGTCACTTTCTGGAACACTTATTGCTTTATTATCCACTTATTGAAGAATATAGATATAGACAGTATAATAACCTATGTGATATGTCAAGGTATCTTATTAATGAAAATAAGATACCAGATATATTATGCAAATTTTCTAAATTTGCTTGTAACAGATTAAGTCAATCGTAGATGTAAGTCCAGATGTTCTCCTGTTGGGGCCTAAATCCTAGGCTTCTTGTGTATCCATATGTTCTTGTGCTACCCTCCACAGGATGGATATCGGATGCACAATAAACTAGTCATTTAGGGGGCAAAATCTAATCTCAGAGAATTAAGTATATATTTTGCAACGATCATTAAAAAAATATTTTTTTAGATTATGTCACCCTAATTGACATATATAATGACCACTGCATCAGAATGAACTGAGGAGTGATCATTAGATCTTTTCTAGGGATTACAGAGTCTGCAACCTTCGACATATTGAAGAGTGCTACTTAATCCACCAAATCTTCGCTAAGTGGTATTTCATTGGTGATCGTACGCAACGTGCACAATGGATTGTCAACACCACTAAGAGTCCCCGGTCAGATTTATAGTTCCACAAAACAACAACAGAATGATTGAAGGCTGAGAGCGGCTTCTACCACCAGCACCACATTCAGAGGTCTCACTAGTGACAAACCAAAAAGCCTTGTTGATACCTGGGCTGGGGTGTATGTTATGCCACCTGGGACAACGTTGTGATGCACTTTACTTGGGAGAAACAGCCAGGGATTTTGACGCTTGTGCTAGTGAAGTCAATCAGACTGTCCTACTGATAATATCAACAATGCCTGTGTCCTGTATTAGGTTAGGTGAGGTTTGTCAGGAACCAGGACAAGTGTTTCCTGACGCGGGAATTATTCATATGATGACCCGCAGCTGGAGCTTTTGGTCATTTGATCGAGGCCTTCCAATGGCTTACCGGTCCACCCCCTTTAAAAATTAATGTTATAACCATTTTATAGGGGAATCTGTGTACTACCTAGGGATACCCACGACCATTTAATGAAATGGAGTGAGGCCAGACTCGTCTTAAAATAGGATCAATATAATCTTGTTAATGCAGTTGTGTAGAACACTGGGAGGTTTAGTATCTCTAAAGCTTTTTAGTAGCTGATCTTATTTAGCCAAGACACTGCCGTCAGGTCAAGTCAGGTTATTTCCAAGCGCTCCTTTCCCCTACACTACACCTCTCCTTTAGTCTGCTATATATTCCTGTTTTACCTAACTGTATTAGGGTTAAGAAAGTCCCAGGTGAGTCAAAACTATACTTCTACTAATAAAAATTATTCTATTAAAAGTATTTGAAAGAAATTCAAGGTAAGGTTAAAAAAAATATACAAGATGTACAAGACACCTGAGGTTTCCAGAGAACTGCGTGAGATGAACACCTGTCGCTCGGACGTTGAGAGGAACACCTGTCACTCAGGCGTGAGATCCTTCACTCTGGAGACTGATCTACACCTGTCACACTTCTCAAGCTGCATCAACCTTCATTGGAAGTGACCTTTCCCTGGTGGCTGCCATTCCAACAGCATACACGAGTATGACTGACAGGGTGACAGTCAAGCTGTCAGGTTATCATAGTTTAACTGATCTACTAACTGTTGCATCTAAGTCTCTCCCTTGAATGGACTAAGTGAGGATAGGTCTTTCTTTGGATGGACTAGGTGAGGATGACTCCCTCTTTGGATGGACTAAGTGAGGATGAGTCCCTCTTTGGATGGAC